AAAAAAAAAAAACACCAAAAGAAGAACGGTCAAACATATAATAAAATATGATTTTAAAACAAAAAAAAATTAAAAATAAAAAGGCAGCGTTCAATTGTTTGAACGAAGGTATGTGCCCCTTTTAATGGATGAACCGCATCCATATCAATACTCGGGGGGCGCTTAAACGGCAAAAGAACTAGCCGATGTGGATGTTCTTATAAATTATGATTTATGATCTTTCAAAATTAAAAAGCATTATAAGGGATTAGACTTTAATTTTGGCAAAACTAGTAGCTAAAGCTCGGTGGGGCGTGGGGGTGGTTTATTTTGAGAGAAAATCTAGTGCTATGTCATGAACTGGATGTGCTAAGATTTGCATGTTAATGGTATGGTAGTTGTATTGACGTTGATGGGGGCACATATAACATACAATACTACTACATATATATAGCATCTCCAATGCTCTAATATTGTTGTTGAATAAATTTTGACAAATGTCACTAAATTAAGTGAATCTATTAATATATAAAGAGGGAATGATATTTATTTAAAAAAAGATGAAAAAAATCAGCAGAAAAAAAGAAGTCAATTCCCGCCCAAAGTGAATAAAATGATAAAGATTTTTGGCTAAAAATCAAAATTCGAGCGTCATCTAACCAATTTTGAAAAATTTGAAAAAATAAATAAATTAAAAAATCTAAATAAAAAGATTACATGAAGATTTTTTGGAGATTTCATATTATCTAACTTTCATACTTCATGAATGGGACACTTGTCCTATTTTCATTGGTCCACTATAAATTTTATATGATAAGATAAGTATAACTCAAATTATTAATATTATTTTATTTTAAAAAATAAAATAAAAAATACAAAAATTCGTATTATTTCATACTCTATAAATAGAGACCACTCTTGATATGTTTTGGAACACAATTAAAATTATTATGTTGGGTTAGGTTGTAGATAAAACAATACCAAACAATGTATGTAGATATATTTATTAAATAAATAATTAAAAATAAATACTATCTTTATTAGGTCACCAACTAAAAAATAATAAAAAAATAAAAAAATAGCAAAATCTGCGACTCAGGTCAAATTGTGACTCTAGATCGCAACCTAGCCACACGGAGGGAGATAGAAATGAGGTGAGTGAAATGGGGCAAGTGTCCCATTCTTATTGGTCTATAAGATTTTTATATAATAAGATAATTGTAACTCAAATTATTGATATTAATTTATATGAAAAAAATAAATAAAAACTTATTTTTCATTCTCTATAAATAGAGACCACTCTTGATATATTTTGGAACATAATTGCAATTTCTATCTTTTCACTCTTTTTTCTTAACCGTAACTTATCAATCTCATATCTTTTATTTTATCATATCACAACTAAAACAATAACAAAAAAGATAATGTAAATAATATTTAATATATATATAAATAAATATAAAATAAATATTATGTAGGGTTGAGTTAGGTTGGGTTTGGGATAAAGGACTATTCTACTATGCCTCTTCTAGATATGGGTAGTATTAATTCAAGTGCGAACCGTCTGGTTTTGGATGAACTTAACTATGACCGTAAGACTCTAGCTATTGAGCATGATGCATTGCTGACACATATGACCGATGAACAGAAAGATGTTTATTCCAAAATAATGACATATGTTCATTCCGGCAGGGGCGGCGTGTTTTTTGTGTATGGTTATGGTGGAACTGGAAAGACATACTTGTGGAGGACTTTAGCTGCTTAGCTAAGATTGCACGGTCGAATTGTGCTTTGTGTTGCATCAAGTGGAATAACATCTTTCTTATTGTCGGGCGGACGAACTGCATAATATTCTCGATTTGGCATTCCTATTTCTGTGCATGAAAATTCATCGTGTTGTTGGTGTTATATACTTAAGCTTTGCTTTAGTGAATATTACACTTGTTATTCCTTGATGAATGAGAATTATGTTTGGTTAAATAAGTTCCACGTTCTGTTGTTTTGCATGTAGATAAAGTGGGTCGTCATCGGGCGTACCGAAGATCACTATATCAGTTACTTGCGAAACAA